CTGTGTCCCTTCTCACTCATGTTAAACTCTTGGGAAAGAACTAGACAGCACAGGTAACACGTCATTAAGCAGAGTGTCCTTAAGAGGAAGAACGTGGCTTATCCTACCACAACTTTGACCTACTCCATACCTTGCAAATTATTTTGCTTTTGTTTTGTGATTGATCATTAGAAGGTAAAGGCAATCTTCCTTTGCAAATTTGATTGCTCAGGTGTGGAGACTGGAAGAAACTGTATGCCCAGAGAGGAGGAAAAAAACATGATAACTGCGGGAAGTATGCAGTCTCTCAATGTGTGATCTGACCCTTGGATGCCAATGAACAATTTGATAGGCCTTCCATTTCTAATGGCATGGTGATGATAGTATCTTAGAGGAAGTATTTGCCGGGGAAATCTCAAAATGATTCTCGGTTGTTTAACTACAGACTTTTAAAAAGTCACTCGGACTCATTTGCTGTCATTAATAACCTCTGTTCCACATACAGCCCATTCTATCTTGGAATTCTGCTTATTAAGACAAAGAGAATGGTCTCATCCTTGAGGAGTGGTGGTCTCCTTAAACAAATGTTTCTGAAATGGGCAGCAAAGCAATAATCTTAATCTTCCTTCTTTGGCAGTATTCCTAGAGATAAATGTTCAGAATGTGTAAGTGACATATGGCATCTGGAATTCATACATCAAAAGGAGACAGCCACTGAGCTAAAGTGTGTGGCTAAATATGTACACTCTGTTGTCACATGTTTCAGGAATGCCATACCTCTTACGCTGGCAGATGGCACACAGCTGAGAATCTCTTTGCCATTACATATTTGAAGATCTGTGGCTTATTAAGACTGAATATCTGAGCTGTAGTTTTCATTTATGTTGCATTTTCCTGAATCCTACTTAACTACTGTACTTATTTGTGGGATTGGTCTAATACTGATGAAATATTTACTTCTAATGTTGCAAGCATACCTCTCCATCTGCTCTGAGACTCTGTTTCTTCACATCAGTGTGCACAGATCATGAAGATGTTGTTTTTTGGGGCTACAGCTTCTAGAATACCTAAAAGCATGGGATATTCTGGGAGATGCACATGCAGATTTTTGGAAAAATATGCACAAACATACTTTTATTATATTTAATTGATAAAGAAAATGTATGTTAGGTAAAATGCATAAATAAATGCATACATTTGCGAAAATGTGTTAAACTCTGTACATAGTCTCTCAACCCAGTACAAAATTGGGACAGGAAGATAATGCAGGCAACAATTGGAGACACGCAACAAAATCACAATGGATTATGTGGTGCAGATGTCCATGTCTGATAATTTTATACAGCCTTGGAGGTTGTGAACTTCCATTTACAGCATTCTTTGTTATTATGAATGAAGGCCTTATTGGAAATCATTTGCAGAAAACAATCCAACTTAGGAATGTAATACCATCTTTACATCAAAGCAAATCATGCAGAACAGATGATGTATGCTTTCCAGCAGATTGGAGGAAAATCTGATTCTGTGGCCAAACTTCAGCAGTCTTATTTGGTCCTTTCATTTTCCTCATAACTCTTTCTTGATTCTTTATGATTAAATAAAGAGAGAAGTGAACAAATAAATGTCCTCCTTCCAATTAAAAGAAACCCTTCATTTTTGTTTTATCATTACTGGGTCAGCTCTCTTTGATGCGTGCAGTAATAGGGACTGGAGTTTCGGGGGAGGGGGGGACCAAAACTTGTGGAAAGAGGGTTGGCTGTTAACCAGATCATTATGAGAGAGAAACATCAAGGGGTGATTCACCAACCCATGAATGAATGGTATACAAATCATCGCTGACTGCATTCTGAGCATGATATTACTTTAGTCTGACACAGGAGTTCTGCCACAAGTTTTAATGAGCAGTGTAGTTTCATCCAAAGCTTCGGAATGTAAATGAATTCTTAGAATAATAATGATCAAGACAGTTTTCTTTTAACATTTTAAAAAGAGCACAGAATCCTCCCATCTGAAGACCAATCTGGTAAAGTATTCTCAATATTTCTGAAAGCAGTGTGGTATATGGACCCACTGTACACACTGTATCAACCATCTGGGCACAATATGTAAACCTTTTGGGTATAACTTGAATGGCTATGTAACAGGACCCTTGAAAACTTCTAATACTTTTTGGTATGCTCTGGAGGTGAAAACACACATGTTAGACTGTTGCCAATCAAATACATTTGCCATATATTGCTCTTGTTTTAGCACATTTTCATCCTAACCCACCTCCAACAAACCCAAGATGGCATAACACTGTCTCTCTTGCTGCACTCCAATGTGAGGTAAATAAACTGAAAGATAATGGTTCTAACAGGAACATGAGGTGCTTTTCACATGCAAGGGACAGAGTGGTGATTTGATTGTGAATTGTCATACACAGTGACTCCTTGACAGTCGTGCAATGGGTTGACTGGAAGGCTGTGTTTCATTAATACACTCATATTCCCAACGTGAATATAATAAGTTTCTAACAATAACATTTTATTTTCTAGATGTCACAGTTACGTTTAGGTTGTAGTTAACAAAAGAATACATGGAATGTCCCTTTTAAGGAGAAATGCAAGATAAATGATCCCAGCTTAATCTTTCTTTGAGGTTGCTGTTCACTCTGTTGCCTCCCTTTGTATGAAGCAATCCCCTACCTTCATTCCCTGTTGGAAGCAAACCATGGTGCTCTTTCCTGAGAATGAGCCAGCAATGGTTAACATTTGTTCCAAAAACTGGAATCGTCAGTCAGGAAACTATGGCTTGATTCGTACCACACATGAAGAAAGAGGGGAAAGGAAAGAGAAAGAAGGGGACATACATGCCTGATGGTTCTGCCAGGCTTTACATCCATTTATAATTTGACCTTAACATCTGAATCAACTCGCAAGAAACTGGCTACTTTAACTGTATTTATCTCTCTAAAAGCAGAGCTTGAAATATGATTTTCAAAAAGTAACTTTAAAATGTTATTCAAAGAATAACATACAGTATGATTAACATGGTACTCCTTAATCTTCCAGTTTTAAAAAAATGGTAATACAGTGGTGCCTCGCAAGACGAGCGCTCCATTTTACGATGAAATCGCATAATGATGAAGTATTTGCGATCGCAAAAGCGATAGCAAAACGATGTTTCCTATGGGGGAATTTTGCTTTGCGATGATCGGTTCCCTGCTTCAGGAACCGATTCTCGCAAAACGACGATTTTCGTATAGCTGATCGGCGGTTTCAAAATGGCTACCGGGTTAAAAAAAATGGCCACCCACTGTTTTCTGGGATGGATTCCTCACTGCACGGGTGTTAGCAATGCCTAGAATACTGTCATTAAATATATTTAAAGCATTTGATTCAATGGAATGGGATACATTAAAGCTTTTAATTAAATATTTAGGGTTTGAACCTAATTTTAGGCAGATCATTCACCAATTATAGTCACAGAATACAGCTAGAGTAATAGTTAACGATGGAATAACTGAGATGATATACCTAGGCTGTGATACAAGACAAGGTAGCCCCTTATCTCCAGTATTATTTACTGTACATTGATAATAGAATTATTGGCACAGATAATTAGAGATGATAAACAGATTATAGAGATAGAACATAAAGAAAATGAAGGTGAAGATGGCATTGGTGTATTATGAATGTTGTATCTTATTGTGGTGTTTTATTGTGGTTTTAGGTTTATGTTGTTTAGGTTGGATGTTTGTTTAATGAATAACAATTTTAAAATACGGTGTTAGCAATACCTAAATTAGTTTGCAAAAGGAACATTGTTATGCCCACAAATGCTAAACACAGTTTGGTTTGCATTGTTTGCGCCATCTCTTACCTCATCCGTTATTTAGATTGTTGCTGGATTTGAAGTCATCCTTATGTTTATCTGGAACCAGATTTTGCCATGCCACAAAAGATTTATGCAGGGGCTCTACATATGTGCGCGCATGGGGACAATTAAGACTCTTAATTAAAGTAATAAATAACAACATTATCTTATCAAGCATTGGTTATCTATCTAAAGGCTAACATCATCAGAATGAATTAATGCTTAGCAAATGTTTATAATGTGCACAGAATTTATATCTTAATGCAAACTTGTTGAACGAATTTCATTTTTCCTGTTTGAGGCTACAGTCTGCATTACGCATACTACTTGAAGAGAGTTTCAGTTGGATCTTCCTCCAAATCAGTTTCTAGTAGAAGTCTACAATTCCGTTTTTCTAGCAAGTAAAAACAGGCTTTTTGAAAGGATGTGGTGGCGCTGTCGGTTAAAACACAGAAGCCTCTGTGCTCCAAGGTCAGAAGACCAGCAGTCGTAAGATCGAATCCACATGACGGAATGAGCTCCCATCGCTTGTCCCAGGTCCTGCCAACCTAGCAGTTCGAAAGCATGTAAAAATGCGAGTAGATAAATAGGTACCACCTTGGTGTGAAGATAACGGTGTTCTGTGTCTAGTCAAGCTGGCCACGTGACCACGGACAATGGTCTTCGGACAAACACTGGCTTTATGGCTTGGAGACGGGGATGAGCACTGCACCCTAGATTCGGACACAACTGGACTAAATGCCAATTGTAACTTTTACCTTTACCTAAAATCATGCTTTTTGTAGAATTGCTCAAAAATCTGTCTTCTGGATAGCAAAACTTCAGAAAATGTCTAATAGCATATCAACTGGGAGTCTGGGACAGAAAAAACATAAACGGTTGGTTTTAAAATCAGTACAGATACTTTCTAAAGAAAGTCAATACTTACCCTTGCAATTACTGTATAAGGGGAAAGGGAAAGTACTTAACTCTTTTTCTTGCTCATCTTGTACTTGCAAGCACAACAACATAGAGAAGAATGTATAATTAGCAACATGACTCATAATAGCCTTGGAACTGCTGTATGTCTTCAGAGGAAATGACTTTCCCATACCCTTCAGTGCAGTTTCTCCCTGTATCCATGTCAATCTCCTGCCTCACTCATTTTCTCTTTTACCCTATAGGAGCACAGATGCAAGACGTGAGACAGATGTGAAACATTAAGACGTGGCCATTAGCCGATTCTGGAAAGAAAGCAGGGCAGGCTCCATTCTGTATCCCAGGAAATAAGAAAATTCTACATTCCCACTTGCTCTTATTACCAAGGGACAACTGTCAGTAGCATATCAAAGACGATGGTGTGATTTTCTTTGAAACTAGTGGTACCAGCCCCTATTACGATCCGATCACAGCACAGCTAAATTTAATGTGTATCTGAATCCAGGAAAGCCAAGCCCTCCAAGGAACTCCTGAATGAGAAAGGGAACCAGATAAAGAGCCGCCAGTGAGAAATATAATGGTTGCCTGGAAATAAGGGATGAAGAAGCTGGTGAGCTGTTCTACACTGTTCTCCAGACAGGCTTTCTTTTCCCTGAGATGAGAGATTGATGTACAATTGCTAAAGTTAAAAACCAACAAACTAGTGGCATCTATGTCTGCTTCATGCTCCTAGCAGGAAGAAATCATGGCTACAGAAAGGATGACACTCGAGGATGGCTTCAGGTAAATAAGTTAACCTCTGTAAAGCATCTGGATAAAAGCAGACTTGGGAAGTTTCATTTTGCTAATATTCCCCCGGCTTTCTATGGGAAAGATGTGAAAAACCCAGAGCATTGGTTTTGCGTTATGTCAACTACAGTAAGTTATGCTTTGTATCATGCATAGGCAGCTTCACGTCTCACCCCTACATTTTTTGGGGGGGCCACTTCCTACTATGTCACAATGCTTTTACTGGAACAGTTCCTTCCTCTCTGGATATTTAATTAAATCTACAGTTATAATCAAAGCTCACAAAGTGGCTTGAGCCTGTCCTGTACACCAGGCGAGATCTAGGTTTTTTGATTGTTTGGGAACTAACTTGATTTTGATTGGTTGGGTACAAACTCCTGTTCTCAAGGCACATCTACAACCTAGACTATTTGGATGTTCTGGTAATTCTGTCTCTGCCAAGAATCCCAGAAACTGTGACCAGAATCCAACTGAATATTTATTCCTTTGTGTGTATGCAAAGCATATGCAGGAGCAGGAGATAGTTGCTAAGTAATAAGTCCCCAGATGGATTCCTAGTTGCACACCAGTTGAGTGCCTTGTTATAAAACTAGGAATTTGCTGCTCCGAGTTATACCACTTGCCTTACTCGGCATCAGTATTCAGTTGGATTCTGTAAGCAAGATGAAAGATTATCAGTGTCCTATGTAAATTACAGTTCCCAAGTTTCTTTAGAGGAAATCATGACAATTAAAAGGTATAAAATGGGCCTAATGGGGCTAAATCCAATTGTTAGTCTTAAGAATTCAAATAATGAACAAGATTTGAAGGGACTAGTGAATCACTTCTGATACCTAAAAAAATCTTGGAAAGGGTCACTATAACTCAGAATTGACCTGACGGCAAAAATTTATTAAATTGGCCCTCTTTTTTTAAAACTATCACTGATTCTGATTATTATTGCCAGCTCTACTCTAGTTGGCAATAATACTTGGATTTAGCCAAAGTTCTTACTGTATTTTTCACACCATAAGACGCACTTTCCCCCCACAAAACAGGGGAGTGGAAAGTCTGTGCGTCTTATGGAGCGAAGAAAACAGATTATATTTTCCTGTTTTCTTCTCCTAAAAATTGGTGCGTCTTATGGAAAGGTGTGTCTTATGGAGCGAAAAATGCGGTATATTGTTATGTTCTCTGCCCAAGTCATCACAATCCTTAGGAAAATGAATGCAAACTCAGCAAAGATCTGTTTGGATATCAACCAAAATGCATGTTGGGTATCAATCAAAATGTGTGACTGCATCATATTTTACAAGATCTACAGCATTTATAGATAGCCTTTTATTACAAACTATAATAAGGAATGCTACAAGATAAAATCAATACACAATAAAAGCAACAGTAAACTATACAATGAATCCTTAGCTAAGTACTTGCCTTCCAGCATGTTACCTTTTTGACATGGTATATTGATGCAGCAATTGGTGTGTACTGTATATCATTCTGAGCTCATCCCATGAGTGAGAGAAACTCACACTGTTCCAGACAATTCCCCCTCCAACAGCTCTCTGGGGCTAGATGTTGGTGACGGAAGCGTAGGGTGAAATTTGCTACGATGCCCTCTCTTGATGAATGGTGTTTTATACCCTGTCAAATCTGGATCTATTCTAAACACATCAAATATCATTTTCTGTAAATATTAAACAGATGTCTTTTCCCCACTGAAATCAACAGAACCTGAAACTGCTGAAGATATGTTTGCTTTTTTTTTGTTATACCGATCACCTTTTTAAAAACGTTTATTTCTGTTTTTATTTGTTATGTTTGTTTTTCATGATTTTATTATCATGATTTAGCATGATTATTACTGGATCAATCTCTATGGAAAATGGCTTTCTCTGGGTTGGTGAGACCTGCTAAAATTTCTAACCCAACAACGTTTACAGTGGGGTCTCTACTTAAGAACGTCCCTACTTAAGAACAATCCAACTTAAGAACAGCTCCATTTGCTAAATTTTGCTTCTACTTGAGAACAGAAATCCAAGATAAGAACAGGAAAAAAAAAACCTTTCCTGCTCTTTTTTTAACCTTAGGTCATCTTAGGTGAAAAAAAATTCTCCCCCTAGTGGTAGAGTACGTATTAACCAGCTTTGCATTAGTTCCTATGGGAACTAATGCTTCAATGTACGAACGCAGCTCTACTTAACAAAAAAACAGCCAGAACGGATTAATTGGTTTTCAGTCCATTCCTATGGGAAATTTTGCTTCAACTTAAGAATGTTTCAACTTAAGAACACCATTCCAAAACGGATTAAGTTCTTAAGTAGAGGTTCCACTGTAGTTTCTATGGACGGAAAAGAGCAGATACGGATTAAATGGTTTTCAATGCATTCCTATGGGAAATGCAGATTCAACATAAGAACTTTTCAACTTGAGAGCCACCTTCCAATACGGATTAAGTTCTTAAGTAGAGACCCCACTGTACTGGGCCACAGTTGCCTTCTCTTTGGTTCCTTTCCTGCATTTTGCAATGATGTGCTGACTTTTGTTGTCTGTGTTTTTGTTCGGTTTCTTGCTTGCTAACATTACAAAAAACAAACCTATGTGGGGAAAACCTGGATGAGGCCCCAGGGCCCGAGAGTTTAAGTGGTTAGAGGAGAATGGTATATGCTATGGCTGTGTGCTACAGGTTTGCCATGTTGTTTTGTCTCTGGAGGACTTCCCTGCTTCTTTCCTTGAAGTAAGAAAAGCTCCTGGAGGTGTGCAGTCACAAATGGCATGTCCAAAATGGTTTATTTCACAGATATGCACACAGAAAACACCAAACACACCTATTTACAGGGTATTTGGAAATTATAGTCCTGGAAAAAGTCTACCCAGCTGCTCTAAATGCCACACTTGTGTAAAACTTCATGAGTGGTGGGATTTAGATATGTTGTCACTACGCTTGGAAGCTCTTGCTGTATGGCCTGCAGATTGCTAGCTCTACCTTTCTTGTCCTACTAGCGCAAAATCTGGCACATCCTTGACAGGAAGTGAGATCTTCCACTATGCTAGTGGTGCATGAGCAAACTACTTGCTTTCACAGGCAGATAGTGCCAGTGATTATCCTGCTAGAAATCTAGCTATTAACTGTCCCCTTCTTTCATAAAGTGTATATTTCCCCCCTGTTATCTTTATCTTTTCTATCACACTCTCTGTCAGTACAGTGGGACTGTGGTACCGGCAGGGGAGAATTCCAAATCTCTCCCATGGATGCTGGAAATTGCAGATAAATGAAGACTCTATATAGCATAGTCTCTGGTTCCCTCTAGTGGCTGAGTCTGGTAACACACCTTAAACATGTGTATGAGGGTTTTTATTTAATATTTTTAGGCACAGATAAGTGAAACTGCAAGTACTGATCCTGCAGATAACCGTGGTCCTACTGTAATTAGATGACAGGGTATTTCTGTATTGTATTGCTCCGTATAGTTCCATATATATCAAGTATGCTGTATGGAAGTAATAACTAAACAGTTGAAAACTTCTATGGGGAAATGCAGGATGTAAAACAAGTTTAGTGCTTCAAATCAAGTAGTCTATTCACATAGTTATTTCCAAAACCTTTGTACATGCAATACTAACTTTTTAGAGTGGTGTCCAGTCAGTGCTCCTGTACCAATGGAAATCATGAATGAGCAGAACTGCAAAGGTGTTTTCTTTTGATGATTCCCCTTTTACCCTGGGGCCATTGAGGAAGCATTGGTCCAATTGTGCATGCACATGTTTTGCCAGCTCAACAGCACTGGCACCAAGCTGTGAAAAACAGTCAGTATTTGCAAATGTCTAGCCCTAACTGCGCTACTGTAACAACCACAGGCACACACTTTTTTGCACTGGCTCAAGTGATTACAAGGCTTGAACTGGTGTGAATCCATTCATTTTTTTAAAAAGTAGAAGCCCTAGCAATGGAGGAAAAACTGCAAATTTGTGTGAGGAAACTCCTGTTGATTAGCGCTTTTTCTGCATCATGTGGTAAACAGGAAAAAATATGAATCAGCCTGTCCCAAACCAGTAGCATTTTTTGTGAGTTTAGTTGCACCCTTAGTATTGATGATGCTAAGCATGTTGGTTCTTCCACATCATTGCTTCTTCCAATGTCTCTAAGCTGTTAACCAGTATAATTGGTAAATTTTGGATACCACTGCAATGAGCAATTGTCTGAGCTGGCTATTTTTTCATTGTACCATGATACTTTTCTTTTTTATTCTCTAAAATGTCAGAATCATGACAAAATGTGCCATCTAGACAAATATATACAAAGTGACTATGCAGGTTGACTGATCATCTAGAAAGAGAGCAATGAGGAAAAACAACAAATAATTCCAGGCCAAGCTGCACTTTTATGATGTCATTGATTTGATTTTAAAAGCTATTGATCTCAACCCCATTTGTAGTCTATCGTGAGATGTTTGACCGGATTCCACTGCAGTGAAATGAGCACAGTTCTTCTCTTCTCTGATAAGGGTCTCACATTCCTTGTGTCAAAGGCTTCAATGCATCATTCAATGCGTCCCTTCAGGATTCGTAAAGATAGTCCAGTTTGAGGAGAGAGCTGAACATCCATGTGTTTCCTTTTACTCAAAATCAAATTGTTTGCACACTGCTGAAAGAATGACAGATTTAGCTTTTAAATAATATGCATAATGAATTACTCCATTGCTGTTGCCTGGCAGACAAATGTCTGCACTGCAAATTTTATTCAACCATGTCATGCATGTTGGCAAAAAGTGACAAATTTAAATGCTAGGAATGAAGTAGCTGATATTGGACTAAGCACAGAGTCTAAATTATGGACTAGCTCAATAGGCTTAATTCAAATTGACTTATTTATTTATTTATTTATTTAAAATATGTGTAGCCTGCCCTATATCACAGGATCAGAATCTCAGGACAAGTCACAGAGCTATACAAAACAATTTTTAAAACATAAGATAATTAACACAATTTAAAACCAAGCAGTTTAAAACACA